AGTGCTGTCAAACGATTAATCGTGATTAATCGCATCCAAAATAAAAGTTTTGCTTACATAATATATCTATGTGTACTGTGTATATTTATTATGTATATATAAATACACACACATGCATTTATATATATTTAAGAAAAATATGTTATGCTTATATATTAAATATATTTATATAAATTATATGAAAATAAATATATACATGTAAATATTTTCAAAATATATACTATATGTGTGTGTCTTTATATATACATACATAATAAATATACACAGTACACACACATATATTATATATAAACAAAAACTTTCATTTTGGATGCGATCAATCATTGCCCAGCACTAATGCATATAAATATATATAAAACATAAAAATGCTAAAACTTAAACTAAAATAAAAATTGAAAATATAAAAATAAAAACTACATCAAAACATTAATAAAGCAAAAAAATTTAATAATATAATAAAATAAAAATATTAGACGGAAAACGTCAAAGTAACTGGAAATATTTAAATAAATAAATATATATATATATATATTAAAAATGACAAAAACACATTAAAATGACAACAAACTAAAATTCAAATGAAAACTGAAAATATAAAATTAAAATCGACATCAAAATATTAATAAATAATATGAAAGGTATATTAGTACCAAAATAAAAGGAACCTGTCCGTATGAATCTATATACACTATATTCCAGTTATACAATAGGTTTGTGTGTAAAACAGACTGATATTTAAATCTCCCTAACCTCTTTATCATATATTTAAATGTGTTTCTTTGAAGATGCATTATGTAGATTTGATTATTAAACTGATCATTGCCAATCGGAGCAGCTCTACTAAACGCTTTCTGTTATCCATGGAAAAATGAACAGCATACGGGTTAAGAAAATAATCATTTCTAGATGGGAAGTGAGAAGAGTCGACTTGGGAATGTGTTCCTGTAATGACTGGAAACACGTCTTTTAGAAGTGCCTTTGAAATCATTTTCCTGAGAAGAATTCATTGCGATCCTCTGAGGCTGGATTTGTGGGAATGATCAAAGTTGTTATTACCAAAGTCTCAGTTATCAGACAGCAGAATTCCATCCTTCAGCCAGTTCCATTCGCTCCGATTCATCCACTTTCAAAAAACTACTGGGAAAAATCAAAGCATCTGAGGACATTCGAGAAGTTTGGCTGTGAGTTTGATAATGTCACATTGTTTTAGTGATCTGAGAAAAAATTCTAATAATAAAAAGGACATCAAAATATTAAAATAAATAAATTAAAATATAATAAAAAATATATGTGACCCAGGAGCACAAAAGCAGTCATAAGCAGCACAGGTATATTTGTAGCAAAAGCCAACAATACATTGTATGGGTCAAAATTATTGATTTGACCCTTATGACTGGTTTTGTGGTCCAGGGTCACATTTAAATAAATGCACATCCTCAATTCTGCACACTGCAGATCTCGTCCGAACACGCCGGCACACTAACAACACGGACACATCGGGCCCATGCGAGCAGCTGCTTCTGATTTTCATGGTATGAAAAGAGAAGTAGCAAAGAAGGGGAGCGAAAGAGAGCTCTTGAATGACTTAATAAGGGTTTCCGCTGGCCGTAATCCCGCTGCAGGAAACATGCAGTCCGGCCTTCATCACTCCATCATCAGTTCGTCTGACGTTTCTAAGAAAATTCGTTTGCGGAAATCAAAACGGTCACCAATGAGTCACTAGTTGTCATGCAGAGCTGTAAAATGATTTTTTAAATGACTTTTAAATGCAGACTTTGGTGATTTAGGAAGACTGGTACCAGCACTAACATCATTTTGGTTTAAAAACAGTTTGTTTTATTTAATGTCCTTATTTCCATGAATAAAATCAAACAGCGCTAGATTTGGTTGCACTTTGAATGAGGGATTTTCACACAAGCCTGCTTCCTGTCAAACACGTCTCACTTCCTCTTTTCTGCGTTCTGCTTCCTCCTCGTTACGCATTTGCAAGGTGCTCATCTTTCTGTCGTTCTCTCTCACACACACACACACCTTTCTCCCATCTGCACCCATGAAGGGGAAGAGAAACCGAGAGGATCTGAGTATTTCGGAGCGGGAGGTCTGTGTTTACAGATTGGGAAATGTTTTAAACAACGCATGAAAAGCAGAAGTGCCGCTGAGGCCAAACTTAGAGCTGTAATCAGTCGATTTCTCAGAAGACGGCTCTGAATATATACACTATTGTTCTAAAGAATGAAAGAAATTATTGCTTTTATTCATCAAGGATGCATTAAATGGATCAAAAGTGAGAATAAAGACATTTATAATGTTAAAAAAATATTTCTTTTTCAAATAAATGCTGTTCTTTTGAACTTTCTATTTATCTTTGAATCCTGAAAAATAAATTGTATCACGGTTTCCACAAAAATATTGGGTGTTTTCAACATTGATAATAATCAGAAATGTTTCTTGAGCAGCAAATCAGCATATTATACTGATTTCTGAAGATCATGTGACACTGAAGACTGCAGTAATGATGCTGAAAATTCAGCTGCGCATCACAGAAATAAATTACAGTTTAACAGATATTCACATGGAAAACAGCTATTTAAAATCACAATAATATGTACTATTTTTCCTGTGTTTTTCATAAAATAAAATGCAGCCTTAGTGAGCAGAAAAGGCTTCTTTCAAAAACACTGCACTCCATCTAGCTGTTTTCAATGCAAAATACTCATTCTGTGTGAATGCCGCTTATTCATAACTGAAAGCATAATCAAATTACCCAAAATATTTAATAAATGAATATGCTTCACACAAGGCATCACACTTCTGAATGGCATAAATCTGCAGGAATAATGCGTATGCTGTAATGCTCAAGTGTTCAGACTGTGGGAAATATCACTGCACTGCTTTAATTGAAGCAAACGTGTAATTCAAATATTCTTCTGTACAAATGTTTAAGTCTGGCTTCTCTGTAGTATGAAACAAAAGAAACGATGAAAGAGCAAAGACACATTTGTGGCCCCCACGAGGCTTTTGCTGATTGTAAACTTTCCCTTCTACTGCATGTATGTGTGTGTGTGTGTGTGTGTGTGTATGTGAGAGTGTGTGTGTGTGTGTGTGTGCGTGTGTGCGTGTGGCGGCACGCTCTGGCATGTTTGTCTAAGCTCCAATCAAAGGAGGCCTTGTTCACTGTATTTGTTATGTCTGAACGTCAGATGATGTGTGATGTGTCCCCACTTCCCCCCGTCACCTGCCAGGAACAAGCAGAACCAAAAACAACGTGCCGCCACACACACACACACACTTCATTTCACTATCCCTGAACTATTACACACTAATGCAAAAGCACAACACAAGCGTTTGCAGGAAATTTTGATTGATTTTATGAAATGTTCCTATTCCAGCAAAAGCAATTAATATGATTTTTACTACTGACTCTAATGAGGTCAGTGATGCTTAGAATTATCTATAGACGGATTATGAGGGGTGAAGGACTATAGAATAGAAATAGAATAGAATAGAATAGTTGGGATTCCCAAACGGGTTTGTGAGGGAACTATAGAAAGTTTTCTATTTTCTATTCGTTTTCTTTTTCTATTTTTGATTTATGTTCATTTCTAATTTATATTCTCACTTATATAAAATGTTCTTAGATTTTAGTAAATAAAGTAAATAAAATAAAATAAATTAAATGAAATAAAACTTACCCAGGAAATTTAAAAAAGTTTGGGAATCCCTGGAATAGAAATAAATGGAACTGAAGAACACAATCAAACAGAAAATAAAGAACTGTACCTTTAATAATGATTCTAATGAGTCTTTAGTAAAATCCTCTACAATAGAATAGAATAGAATAGAATAGTCTGCCCTCAGTAGAAGAGTAGAACAGAATAGAATAGGACAGAAAAAGCAAAAAAGAAAAGCAAAAAAGAATGGAATTGAATAGAACTAACAAACAGGTCTGCCCACAGGAGAAGAGTAGAATATAGAACAGAATAAGACAAAACAGAAGGGCATAGAATGGAATTGAATATAACTGAATAGATTTGACAAACATGTCTGTCCTCATTAGAAGAGTAGAACAGAACAGAATAGAAGAAAGACAGAACAGAATGGAATTGAATAGAACTAACAAACGGCTCTGCCCACAGCAGAAGAATATAATATAGAATAGAACAGGACAGAACTACAAAACAGAATGGAATAGAATACAATTAACAATCAGCTCTGCCCTCAGTAGAAAAGTAGAATATAGAATAGGACAAAACAGAAGGGAATAGAATAGAATTGAGTAGAACTGAACAATACTGGCAATCAGGTCTTCCCTCAAGAGTATAATATAGAATAGAATAAGACAAAACCGAAGGGAATAGAATGGAGGTGAATAGAACTGAATAGAATTAACAAACAAGTCTGCCCTCAGTGGAAGAGTAGAATATAGAATAGAATAGGACAGAAGGGAATTGAATAGAACTAACAAACAGCTCTACCCTTGAGTTGCTCTGTGTTGTAGATGTGCGTGAGGTACAGAGTTTTTGCCGTCTAACTCACCGGAAATCTGGCTGTGGGCGGGGCTGCTGAAGGGGGGCGTGTTGAG